AAAAGACACCCTGATCCAGAATGTTACTGGCCAGTCACAAAAATGGTTCTCTGGAGCCAGTTCTGCTTTATGAGAGAGTGCCAGGTTAGAAGAAGAGTACTGAGCAAGGGCGCTCCTAAAAGAACACGTGACTCTAGAAACAATGTTAAGTTGCACCCAACATACCTTTTGTAATGTACAAGTAGAAGAAGTCACAGTATAGGATGGTCTGGACTACGCCGGCCACCACAGCAATGAGGTCAAAGAAGCCCTCAAAGTAGAAGCGCCAGATCCAGTTGACAAGATACAAAGCACGATAGAGGCCCAGGAAGAACAGGTAGTGGGTGGTGATGGTCTCAGCCTCCCCAGTCTTGCTGATCATAAAGAGCTGCGGAAGGATAGCCACAGACTCCAGGTAGATGGAGAAGGTCCAGAGGATCTGGAAGAGAAATGGCAAGCTTCCGTCAGGCTCACTGCCCACCAGAAGCCTAGAGGAAACACTCTTGCTTGCTTTACCACAAAGCAGCTTAAGATGACAGGGAGTTGTGGAGTGGGGCATGTTGGCTCAAAATTGAACAACAGCTTGGCAACTGAATAACCCAGTGGTCCCCAAACTTTTTGACACCAGCAGCTGGTTTTATAGAAGACAATTTTTCCACAGACCAGCAGCATGGATGGATGGTTTCAGGATGATTCAAGTGCACTGCATTCGCTGTGCACTTTATTTCTATTATTATTGTAATATACAATGAAATAATTATACAACTCATCATAATGCAGAATCAGTAGGAGCCCTGAGCTTGTTTTCCTGCAACTAGATGGTCCCATCTGGGGGTGGTGGGAGACAGTAACAGATCATCAGGCATTAGATTCTCATAAGGGGCAGGCAACCTAGACCGTTCGCATGCACAGTTCACAATAGGGTTCGTACTCCTATGAGAACTGAATGCCACCACTTTTATGACAGGACGTGGAGCTTAGGCAGTAATGTGAGTGATGGGGAGCGGCTGCAAATACAATGAAGCTTCACTTGCTCACCCACTGCTCACCTCCTGTGAAGCCTGGTTTCTAACAAGCCACGAACCAGTACCAGTCAGTGGCCCAGGGATTGGGGACTCCTGGCATAAATCACAGAAACTTAAGCAACCTTTAAGAGGCAGGGCACTGCCAGTGTGACAAGCTGGGTAACTTGGATGCCTCTACCTCTTTGACCTTGTCCCTCCAGGTTTATTTTTCCCTCTTCAATTTTCTATGAGTCTACATAAAGACATTTTTCCTGGCCAAGCTTGTCCTGCTCCAGATCTGGGATGACAAATCAACCCTGCTTTCTGCCAGGGTTGACAGCATTGGTAAGTGGGAAGCTCCTACTTCCTCACTGCTGTTTTTCCTCACCGACTGATCTTGCCAGAGTACTGAAATATTTTCACTATTTTTCTTATTCCTTTTTTTTTTTTTGAGACAAGAGTTTCACTCGTCACCCAGGCTGGAGTGCAATGGCGTGCAATCTCGGCTCACCGCAACCTCTGCCTCCTGGGTTCAAGCAATTCTCCTGCCTCCCAAAGTGCTGGGATTATAGGCGTGTGCCACCATGCCCAGCTAATTTTTGTATTTTTAGTAGAGACGGGGTTTCACCATGTTGACCAGGATGGTTTCGATCTCTTGACAGCGTGATCCACCCACCTTGGCCACCCAAAGTGCTGGGATTATAGGCGTGAGCTACCATGCCCGGCCTATTTTTCTTATTCCTTAGGCTTTTCTGGTGTGGTTAAATCAAAGGGGTATAATCAGAGTTGTAATTATGGAAATTCTCTGCCCAACATATGACTTTATTCATGATGATGACAGAAGGACTTTCTTTTTTTTTTTTGAGACGGAGTCTCGCTCTTGTTACCCAGGCTGGAGTGCAATGGCGC